AGATTAAGACACATATTTCTATACATGAATACAATTTAAATCGACGAATAGTTCGTGCGTGCACATCCCTGCAGCAGTCGTAAAATGTGTTAAAAGCAAGTGAAAATTGTTACACGCGAATGGAAGGTTGCTGCAATTGCTACTGGCCGCGCGAAAGCAAGCCCAAATGGGACTGAATTGGGGCGCTTACGACCGCGTCAACTTGGTGTCATCCGGGTGGTCTTGCTGGCAGGAAGTGGAACAGAACCATGACGAGCATGATCCATGTGACGAGTAACCACCCTGTGGTCCAGTAACACAGCTGCTGCTCTCCCTACTTCTACTTCGAGTAACTCTGCAGGCTGCGAAGTAGATTAGCGGGGCAGCTTGACGTAAACCGACTCGTACTCGAAAACTTGTGGATCTAACATCGTGCAATTTTGCCTCGCATTAGATTCCTCTTCCCAGATTTGGATGCGTAGTCCCTGATCATAATGGAGTAGATCCAGCCGCGTTCTCAACCTCCGAGTTAACAGCAGTCCGCCTGAACTCCTGCCTGTCGTCTTACTTGGAGTAGAAACAATAGCGAGTCAAGTGAATTCAAAATGACGCCTTTCTACACGCCTGACAGGTGGTCACTTTTGTTAACCATCTTCTGCCAATTGGACTGCTCTTTCCTGTAGTCCAGCTGAGGATGGGTGGTAAGCTGCGGTTTAACTACATTCGATGCCGTTATTTTAGAGGGTCCCCTGAAACATCTGACAAATAAACAAGGAGCCGTCAAGTTTGCCGAATTTACTTAAACGTGTTCATACGCACGGTAATGTCGTCTCAAAAGTGGCGCGTATCAACGGAACTACCTCAATGCATTTGGGGTACAAGAACAATGGAACAATGGCTTATTACGGGTAAAAAAGCATCGCTTAACTAGTCCCGTGGGATGGAAATTATTGCGAAAATCACTTGCATAATAAAGGGAAACGAGTTTTGGTATACACAACATAGACTTATGTGCAATAGCGGAGATGTTCGCGTATTAAACGTATAAATCCATAAATCCATTGGTTAGGCGTTTGGCAAGAAACCGTTTGATTGCGTTTTGTAGCCATTGGCTAACAAGTCATAAAATGAAATGTAAGTGAGACAATGCATCGTTAACACATCTTTTAAATGTCGCCAGATTGGGAGCAGAGATGACATAATTAGGGAGGGCGTTCCAAGGCTGGCACACGGGGAGAGAAAAGAAATTTCTACGGCATTCAAGCCGGCTCTACTGAATGGTCAGTTTCAGCAGGGGAGCTCTTAGTTTAGTGTTGTGGTTTAATTCCAGCAGCGGACGACAAATGTGGTTTGGGTTCTTCAGAATCTGGTAAAGCATTATGAGATCCCCACGAAAAAGCCGATATCGACTGCTGTACATTCTTAGTGATTTCAGTCTAAGCTGATAAGGCAGATGAAATAGGCCCCTGACGTTCTTGGTTGCCCTTCGTTGAGGGATCTTGAGGGCAACGAGATCCTGTTTCTGCCACGGCTGCCACGCCTGAATAGCATACTCCACGTGAGGTCGCACGTAGGCGTTAAGCATTTGGGGAAAGATTGAGGGTTCAAACCGACCGAAGGCTCTGCGAAGAAGGCCGAAGTGTTGATTGCCGGTTCTCGTCGCCTTCACTGCTTGTTTTGAACACCCGAGATCTTCCTGCACCAATACACCCAGGTCACGCTCCTGAGAAACCTTCGCCAAGGTGTGGTCTCCATTGTTGTAAGCGCTCACCGGCTGGTGACGCAGATGTAGCACTTTGCACTTAGCTATGTTCAATTGAAGCTTGTTCCTATTTGACCATTCGTAGATGCAATCTAATCATGTTGGAGCAGATTCTGATCTGGCATGTTACTAATCGCCCGCCATACCTTGACGTCATCGGCGAAAAGCAGGGAATTTGACGAGATGACTCTTGCCAGGTCGTTGATAAACACCAGGAATAAGCGCGGTCCCAGCACTGAGCCTTGTGGGACACCACATTCCACCTCATTTGGGTTAGATAGTGATTCCCTAACACGTACTTGAAGCTTCCGTTGGTAAAGGAAGCTGCCAATCCAACCAAGTACAGGATCTCCGATTCCGTAACTCTGGAGCCATTGAAGTAGGATGCGGTGATCAAGGCGATCGAAAGCTTTGGAGAAGTCCAGATAGATGAAGTCGACTCCGACCCCATCATCGGCCACTTCCGTCCAACTATCTCGTACAAGCAGAAGTTGGTGGTGCATGACCGGTGTTGACGGAAACCATGCTGTTCCGGTACCAAGGTGTTGCATTTTTCCAGGTAGTCCATTAAAGCCTCAGCGATGACTGCTTCCATCACCTTCGCGAGCACAAGGAGGAGAGTCACTGCACAATAGTTTGCAGGATCTGAACTGCTACCGCCTTTAAATATATGGGTGACAATGCCACCCTTCCACAAAGTGGGGACTTGTTCATCAAAGCACCTTTGGAAGAACTGTGACAGCGGTTCAGCTAGCTTATTAGCCACAGCTTTCAGTGCCTTCGGGCGGATGTTGTCTGCTCCCGGAGAACTATGCTCAAGCAGTGAGAGTAACTTCCTTAGCACAACTGATGGGTGGAAAATTATATTTGTAAACAATGGTGTCCGTAATTTGATGTTATGGGAGAGGTAGATGTTGCGAGTTCAAAAATTGGGGCGTATTGTAGCCGTAGGGCATTAGCTGCTTCTTCGGCACTTTGTACTCTACCGCCTGTCGTGAAAAGTGGAGGTATTCCATGCATCTGTTAATAAAGCGGACCAAATTAGTCTAGAGGAATGCGCTCTCATGGCTAATTGGACAAGTATATGCATAAAGTAGCACCAGCGGGGCTTTAATTGTGTAGTTTGACACATTTCGTTGTGCCTGATCAAATTTTCTGTCATAATCAATGCCGGCCGATAGATATAAAACCATGCGGTGCCCTTTATTCAGGTGCACGCTGTGTCAGCATCGTGCAGTTACTCCAGCTCATACTATTACAACATAGACGACCTAATAGCAGTGGCTTAGCAACTAATTTCGCCGCGCAGGGCGAAGTGAAAGTGCCGCCCCTAGCAGTGGTAAATCAGTAAAGCCACACAATTGCGAACATACCTCATATACTTGGATTCATATAACAGCAAAGATGCAAGTCCAAGTACTGCTGTAAATGCAGGTATTTGTATTGTTACATTACTCGTCAGAAAAATTTACAGATACACGTTTGCGTGCATTACTTGAGACAAGAGTATTGATAACACCAACAGAATTCAGTTCATAAGCGAATGCCCTCTCTATGGGGAGTACTGCTAATCGCATTGATGATTGAAGGTAGTTCGTCATAAGCTTCAGTTTTGAGAATGCGGTCTCACGGCTGCCTGTGCTAATAGTTCGAATAAGAAAGATACGCATCAGATTCCAAAGGTGCTTTTCTGTATGAAATCCAAAGGTTCAGAAGATGCATAAATTGTGTCGGCTGTTGAATCTTTCATAAAATACTGCAATATTCTCATTTCAATAAAAAAGTCTTCCTTTCTAATATCTTCTTCAAGTTTGCTAAGCGAGCAACCACAGTTATTATCAAACAGATTAAACGGTGTAAGCAAAACATATTTGTTCACAAGATCATGAATGTTTTGGAAAACTGGTAGCTCGGGTTGATAATTCAGTTGCTCATTTGTTCGCCGAGCTGAGAAATTGGTTTGCAAACGTTTCACCGTCATGCGAGACGGCATCATCAGTGCGTCGCGATGTGGAGTGTAATCTCGCTGATTGAATTGTCGACCCGTGATCGGCGTGCAGGTGACATTTCGAAAGTGACGGCTTCGATCTGTGTCCCGTGATCTCTACCCATTTCCACGTGGCGGAGGTCGTCGCTTGGGTTGTTCCTATTCAAGCGGTGTCTCATGACGGTGAAACGTTTGCAAACCAATTTCTCAGCTCGGCGTACAAATGAGCAACTGAAAGATCATGAATTTTCTGAAAGCTATATCGGTTTGTCAGTCAAATTGCCCTTGACCGACAACGTTCCTTGTTTAAACTTATCGATCTATCAAACAATTTTTCTCCATCCATTTTTTTCTTTCGGCGTATTTGACACACTGAACAGATAAGATGTCGTCGAACGTAGCCTATATTGTGATTGTCGTTTCCTGTTCTCTTTGCCTTACCATTTCGTCTGCAGTATCGTCAAGGCAGCAGTCTCTCGTGCGAGTTTGCACACGCGGTTCTTCAACATTTTCTGTGAAAGTGCGGTCCATGAGGTGTAACGCAAACACACTGATACTTACTAAGTGATTGTCCGGCCGTCTACGAAGTATCTCCTTTGCATTTCTAACCTCTAGGTCTCTTATGGCCCACGTATGCCCTGGAATCAGAAGCCAACGGAACCCACAACCGGACGCATACCACACACTTCATGATTACCCCCAAATCAGCGTAGAGTTGTTTTGATTCGTTCATTGCAATGTCAACCAGTTTCTCACTATCCTGATGAAGGAAAACTGTTAACATTGTACGCTTGACAGAACTTTGCCGCAGATCCAGTCCTTTGTTTAGACATTTTTATGCACCCTTGATTTATATCAGAACAGATATCCAAAGTCTCAGAGACGAAATAAACGACACTGACCATACCGAAGTGAGAATTAAGGATGCACCTGATTTTTTGGTTGCATTTTCTCATTAACCTGTGAAATGTTTCAGCAAAGTGCCGAGTTCTGAGTATTTCTCCACTACAACGTGTGCAGTGGCTGCTCGACTACTCCATCTAGATTTTACAGGCCCTTGATACTTATATTGATGAATCGAAGAAACCATTCCAGAAATATTTAAAAGTAAAAATGATGAGAATAGCCGGTCTACTGGGTCAAAAAGTAACAGAATGAACAGACGCAGAAGCTTCATGAACACAATCAAGAATCAGGGAATGGTTTGTACATGAACTAAATGTAGCTTCGGATTAACTTCGCATAGGTCTCTGCAACCTCACTGGTAGCCTGCCATTAAATTAGCACCGTTTAAAGCCTGCCACGACAGTCATCAACCTAAATTTTGTGCTTCTTCGCTTCTCACAAAACCAATCCAGAAATTTCGTCTGTTCTTTTACTGTTATTCTCAAAGAAGCTGAGAAATGACTCCTCTACCTTCACTTTATCGACATTCATTTGATTGTTGTGAGATATAACGGCAATGCTATCAAAAATTAAGCAAACATAGTTGCTTTCCTTAATCTGATGTACGATTTTCTTTCTCACCTGCGTTATCAAAATTCGCATTAACTCATATAAAACGCGTGGCGAGAAACAACAAGTGCTGATTTTCCTTCTCAGCTGAACTGTGAAACAGTGTTCAAGAAGAACAGGATAATACTTACCAAAATGTACAAATTATAAAAATTCCCTCATTTATCCTGGTCTCCACCGTCATCGTGTATGAGTCTCGGAAACCACAAGGTGTCCTGTTTCGCATGACGGGAAACCTGACAATTTCTAGTATTCTAGCCAAAATTTCACGCCACAAAATTTCTACAATTGTCTTCCTCCTACTAGACGGTTCGCTAGCACATTGCTGGTAGGAAATTACTGAGCACACAAATTACCAGATTCGTATTCATATGCTTTTGTATTTAAATTCAGCCAGTTTCCGAAACGAACGTCAATCGAAAACCTAGACTATCTAGTTGAAACCATCCTGCAGCTAAAACAACAAAGGGGGCTATTTTAAAGGAGAATACATCATCGAGTTCACAACTTTTGCTAGTTTTCACATAACTCGAAAGGAAAAGTTCGTTGTTAACTTCTTAGCCTCAGTTTTGTATTTGTTTCAGGTAGCATCACTTATTGAACGCATACTTGACGTGCTTCAAGACAATAAATCAAATTCGAACAAGTATAGTGAGAATATCATGGTCAATGTTAACCGGACACTAATAGACGTCCAGAAAATCGACGTATGTACGTATTATCATGTCCAAAGGTAGATGCACTTGCCATTCTTCAAATTCGTGCACAACTTGTGCATCAATATTGCAAACATTTTGCACGACATCCATGATTTCAATCAACGTTTGTAGTACCAGTTTCATCTTCGGTCTCAGCATGAGTATCGCTCTTCATTTCTGCCACCTCAGTCAGGGGGGTAATTTCGATAAATTTACGCTTGATATTGAACAATCATCTGTACTAAAAGTGCCACCCACTGTCATATGCCGCTCGGAGCAGACAGCCCCTTAGGCTACGTCCTGTATAACAGCTCACGACCCCAACAGCGGACCGCCATCCTCAAGCCTTATTCTGTACAAGTTCAAGGTCAATTGGAACCGGAACAGTAGGAAAATCCCGCGAATGTTCCACCTTCGAAAACGTCGTTGATCCAACAGGGAAACCGGTGCCTTGATGTGCCAAAGGAGAGCCAAATCAACACACACGATTCATATGGTCAACCAAACAATGCCCACGTGCCCTGCACTAGCAGTCCCCGCTGTACCGGCCACGTGAAGAAGAAAATAAAACAGTAGTGTCAGTAAAGAAAAGAAAACAGAGGAGAAGACAAGCTAATCGAATATTTTAGGCAATATTAAGATGTAAGTTAAAAGGAGTTAAAGAAGCGTAAACCGTAGTAGACGAAGAAAAGTTTAAGACACGAAGGGGAAGACTTTAAACTGCAGACCGAGAGCGTCAAGTCGATGCTCGAACTCTTTCACCGTCAGTGCCATCACGACGTCTGCAGGCAATGTGTTCCAATAAGCTATAACCCTACGCGATAATCTAAAAGTTGCCAAAACCCGGTCAGACCGGGGTTTGTGCAACTTTAATGGGTGGCCACGAAGGGTTGGCATTCGAGTTGGGCGAAACAGTCCAGTCAAATCAGGACCAATCTGACCCATCAATATACGATATGTGAGGACCAAGTCGCCCAGAAGCCGCCTGTAATACATGGAAAACATATCCAACATACGTAGCCTCTCCGGGTACGTCAGCTTCTTTAATTCATACACCATTTTCGTCCCGGACCGCAGGACTCTTTCAACTGCCATCTTATCACGAACCAGGCATGGAGGACAAGCCTGGACGCAGTATTCCAAGTGCGGCCTTACAAAAGCCGAAAATAGTCTAACGAACATGTCGGTGGTCATGATCCCGAATGACCTGCGGATCATCCACAACATGAAGCCTTTACGAGCAGCAGTCTTCCAGTGTTCACTGGACTTGAAGTCAGATGACAGCAAAATACCGGATGAAACAAGGTAGCAACTTCGAGTCACATTTATTGGGCCATCCTTGGAAGACCAAAAGTCTAACCGTGCAAGGGCGTACAGCACACTTAATCTGAATGCGGATATCTGCTTTAAAAACCTGCTTGCTGGTCCAGTGCTGCATCAATCTGACTAACTCAGCCGGTTACAATAAACAATCGGGCAGGTGAAGCTACGGCAACTGGCTCAAAGCATCCGCAATCCCGTTTGCTCTTATATGGTGTAATTAGAAGCCGAAAGTAGTAAGGCCCAAGGTTGCATAGACAGAGGATATTTGGGTGATGTCTTTGTATTCATCAATCAAGGCTGGCATGGATTTATGGTAAGCAGATTTCGAAAATTCCTCACGAGTGGGTGTTGAAATTTCTTAAATCGGATTATAACAGTCAACGTCTGCTTAGCTAGTTGTGCATAGTTTTGCTCTGCAGACGCTAAGCGTTTCTGAAGTAAAAAGCAATGAAGCTCTCGCTGGTCTTCTATTTTGTGAGGTGTACGGCGCCAAGCTCTGATGACGAGGCATCGCACCGGAGAGTAATTGCCCTCCTCAGGTCAAAATATACCAGCAGTTTAGCTTTGCTTGTGGTATCGAAAGACTCTCGATTATTAGGTTAAAACTGATAGTTGGCATCTTCCGGGTGCCAGCTTGGTGACCGAGAGGAAAATGACTGTAGCGTTGCAGCATGTCAAGAGAAGACTGCAGTTCCATGACGACACGTAGGACCAGGGAAACAGGAATAGGCCATACTTTTCCCGTAGTAGGTGCGAACCCACTTTATCGAAATGGCAGCTAAAAATAAGCATTTAGATTCCGTCAGCTTGAGTGAACTGTTTGGAAACAATCTGGTGCGTGCGCTTTTTCGAACCAGTTGGACTACTGCTACTCATTGTTTCCAGTCCCCTAAATCTAACTTGTGTCGATCATACGGTTGCTCCAATTCACAGCCCAGGCAAATTCTTTGGCAAAATCGACGTGTGAAATTAGCTCACTCCTGAGCTGGATGGGAAGAAGCTAAGGGTTCTCAAGCAATCCTACAACCTGCAGTATAACAAAGTTGCGGGAAATTTTGCGTCGCTTATCCAGTATACATCGCATCTGAGACACTTGGAGACTCTCGGCAGCGCCCCGCTTGCGTGGACGCTTAACGCGAACCGGTCAATACACGCCGCGGCACTTTGTGGGAGTGTGAGGACAACCGCAAGAGAATTAATCGCTGCATCTGACAATCTGTGCGCGACCGTGAAAGAGCGACAATGAGGGAGCCACGTTGCCTCGGCAAGGTGACTCTGGCGTCATGACAAACAATCTAGGGTCCAGAGTTGGACTAATCTGCAACACTAAGTTCACGTGAATTAATGAGCGCGAGTAGCCTAAAGGAGCCCGTGAAAAGTGCAATGAGATTGTCAATATAAGGCTTTCATGTTCTAATTGCTACTATTATTTCCATGCCAAACGTGGGAACCACACAACAAGCGAGTTTAGGCTGAGCAGCAGCAGGCCAGACTCGCTTTGGTTCTGCACGGAGTGTTCTATCGTCCTATTAGTTAGGACCGTAATTGCACTGTACCAGAAGTATGATAGACTGGCAGAAGAGGTCGAGCAAAGTTTGGGCACCAAAATAGATTCACTGGGAACAAGTGTATCAAGTCTGATACAGGCTTCTCCACTGCGAGCCGGTGTCACAAAGCCGCAGGTGGTACCAACAAAGTGACGCTTGCGGACAACGCCAATACTACAAAGCACCCATGAGCTCCCCAACCCTTCACCTCTATCCCATTTGCAACAATTTACCCAAACCCATTTTCTCCCACCAACCTTCAACGAAACTCTGAAAAATGCTATTGTTAATGGTGGCGATGCCGAAGCTGCATCTCAGCGCACTCCAAAAGCAGCAACACACGACACTAATGTGAGAGATAACGCCTAACTTATGAGTAGCAATTCATCGGTCTCCTGACCATGACCCATACGCCTAGCAATAACACACAGAAACATCGTGATGTCTATCCGTAATATGTACCATACCAACGTTTAAGTGTCAGCATCGAATTCATTGAAAGGGAAGCAGGCGGATGACATGGGACAATGGAGAACCATAAGAAACCTGGTGGGTATCCCGACTAAGCCCACCAATTTGATGAGGGTCACCCAACACCCGAATTCCACGAACTACGGTGAAACTAAGCTTGTTCGATTTGTGCTAAACTCCATCAATGAAATGGAAGCAGTGTTGCTATCCACAGCTCGGCTCCAGAAGGTATCCAGTTTGTTCCGCATCCTTCCACTGGAAGGACGGGCGGGCGAAGCAGTCTAAGAGATTTATGCCTAAACACCGCAGCCATAAGCATTTTCATCCACGGTGGCCAACAGGCTCATGAGCACAATGCCTACGAACCAGACCCACGACCAGGAGCAGTGGCGCTATATTCGTGAGACACAGTCCTTGGACGACGTTGTGGCCACTTCTCTTTCAAGGCTGCCAAGATCAGTAAGCAATTAAGGATGCGGCCCAAGGACAATTAACGTTGTATTACGAAGTAGGCAGATGGCACTAAGACCACTGGAGTGATGGCAGTCATTTCGGAACAGACTGCCAATCGAGCTCCGGTTCAAAGAGGCGAGTGGCGCTGTCGTCCGACATAAAGCACCACCACAGCAGAAAAGAAATTGAGTATCGCATCCGAAACCCACACTGGTAGCAGGTCTAAAAGAAGCGATAATCCTCCTATGCAGTCCTGTATCCATACTGTATGCAATCTTAGTTGCCAGCGGAGTTATTTGCGATACCAGCGAACCCAACTTCAAGCGACTCGTTGACAATACTATCAGAAGACGGCTAGCGACCGACCACACAACGGCCGGCACATCTCATCCTAGCGACAAGTCTTTTAGATCGCTGCTGAGAACCTAAACTTTCCTGCATGTGTACAAATGCCCAAGGCCTCCTCAGTAAAAGCATCGAGCTTCGGTTGCATCAGGAAGCCAAGGCATGGGATTTCATCAACATAATCAAGGCTTGCTTGCACCCAGAGGTTACGAATGCCGAGATCCCGATTCAGGGAATGGCACTCTTCCGAAGCGACCGTCCCAGAATGGGAGTTTGTCTATTCCTATAATATCGTAACGACACAATGCGAACCATTGGATGATCCGGAGGCGCGGAGCACCGATTCCCTATGGTGTCATTTGCGTGCCAGATAGGACGACAACTGCTTCGTGGTAGTCTTTAACCGTCCCCATAGTCCACTTCAGAGATATATTCCCGCATAAGATGGGCAATGACGAAAAGCTTAATTCCAACATAGGGTCACCGGCTTATCACCGGTGATGTTAATCCGCACGACCTGAAAGCTTTGGCAACCTCCAGCGCAAAATTCAAGGCCGTACTGCGAGATCTTATCATAAGTATTCCATTGTAAAATCACATCGCCTCACCTACCTGGCA